ATAACTAGCACGTGTAAATCCCAGGTCACGTGTAAATAGAAGTATTGTCGTTGATTATACTTGGACTCTTGATAACTAGTTACACCTTTGAATGTTTTTGGTTGAAGCCAATAGCATATTTAACAGGACATTTATATCTGTAATTGTAACCAGCTCGATTTTGATTGCAAACCTGGTTAAAATGTTTATATTTAATTATCTTAAAGATAACTCGTCCACCTCAAACCTTTGTAGGGGTAAGAGGTGGGACCATCATCATCATCATCATACCCTGTTTTGTTATCAAAACACTTTCTCAAGCATCCCTCATGTCTTGATATCGCGAAATTAACGATTTCCGTATTTTACGTCTCGCAGGGGTCTCAGATAACCTCGTCAGTAAGGGTTCGGTCGAAGGAATCTTTCGAGTTGAAATTTTTTTTCGACTTCTCTAGAGTAGCATTGTGCTTGTGGTTTGCATAGAAAGCTCTCAATTAATAACTGTGGAAGTGCATCTAAAACAGTTCGCAATGCGCTCCATACAGATGCGTAAAAATCTAGAAGACGGATAAGAAGTGCATCTAGAAAAATTTGTTACGGACCGAAAAAAAAACTTGCTAAATAAGCGTAAACAGCTACAAGGATAGAAGAATAGCATTTGCGAGTTGACTGCTAGTCCATTCTACACACAAATTCATGAATGCAATCTTGCATTCATATGGATTCAGAAATTTGATTCACGAATGATTTTTTAAAAAGCAATCCTATGACTCAAATGATTCCTAATGATTTTTTTTAAACTTTATTTAACAGATTATTCCTAATGAATGTGGATTTAGTGTATGTCAATTTGTTAGAGTAATTCAGTCACTTCATTTGCTGATTCATGAATTCATCGGTATAAACAATCTACAGAGTTCATTGGGAGAGTTTTTATGCGACTGTGAATGATCGAAATAAAAACGTCAAGGCTAAGCAAAGCATGCAGTCGGCAAGAAGAATGCAAGTAAATGAAATTTTCCATCCTTGTCAGGTGGTACATCTTTTCGAATCGGAATCGCAAAAGTACTCCGAAAAGATCAGCGTTGAGGTTCGGGGTATCTAGTAGTATATCGTTGAATGAACTTCCAGTTGTGGTGGAAGAAGATCTATCGAAAATCACTCGACGATTTGTGGTTGCACTGTTCTTCTTTACGACGGCATGGTGCGGCAAGTAATACGGTTTCGTACAGTCCACGTCGATCTCCGCTTACGGCACCACTTCCATGTGGCCAAATTGCTGGTATTCATGCATGAACGATGTGTCGTTGCTTGAAACTGCTGTCGCTTTCGAAGCGGCGTTTCATCGCTCTCAACCGCCTGAAGGCAGCGGCTAGCGAATTCCCGAGTTTGATCTTTGAATGCTCCATAAGCAAACGGAGCAACCTTCCTGCGAGCGCGTGAGGGCAGAGTTCAACTACCCGTTGCTCATCCTTGATGAGCTGCTTGGGACTGTATAAAGGGTGATACGGTCAAAATTTGGTCAATATCAACTTGACATTTGTCGACGTTTGTCGACAGCCAGGAAGTCTGGATCGGGGGGAAATCGAAAACCGGAAGCCGCTGAGACGACAAAGAGAGTTGCCGGTAGTTTCAAGCGAAACCCTAACCTCTCTCTCCGAGATGCCGCAAATAAGCTGGGTGTATCGTCTACAACCGTGCATCGAGCCAAAAAACGAGCCGGACTATCGACTTACAAGAAGGTAGCGACTCCAAATCGCGATGATAAACAAAATACGACGGCCAAAGCGCGATCCCGGAGGCTGTACACGACGATGCTGACGAAGTTTGACTGCGTGGTAATGGACGACGAAACCTACGTCAAAGCCGACTACAAGCAGCTTCCGGGACAGGAGTTTTATACGGCAAAAGGAAAGGGAAAGGTAGCAGATGTTTTCAAGCACATGAAACTGTCAAAGTTCGCAAAGAAATATCTGGTTTGGCAAGCCATCTGTACCTGTGGCTTGAAAAGCAGCATTTTCATAGCTTCCGGGACTGTCAACCAAGAAATTTACGTGAAAGAGTGTTTGAATAAACGTCTGCTGCCTTTCCTGAAGAAACACGGTTGTTCCGTACTGTTTTGGCCGGATTTGGCATCTTGCCATTACGGTAAAAAGGCCATGGAGTGGTACGCCGCCAACAACGTGCAGGTGGTTCCCAAGGACAAGAACCTTCCCAACACGCCAGAGCTCCGCCCAATTGAGAAATACTGGGCTATTGTCAAGCGGAACCTAAAGAAGACCAAAAAAACTGCTAAGGGCGAGCAGCAGTTCAAGGCAAACTGGCTTTCTGCGGCGAAGAAGGTGGACAAGGTGGCTGTACAAAATCTGATGGCAGGGGTCAAGCGTAAGGCCCGGCAATTCGGATTTGGAAAAGCGGAAGCCTAACTGAATATTTTTCCTGAATTTTATACTAATTGAACTTGAAAAAGAAATTTAATTTGATTTTTTAAATAAACGATTTCACCGATTTACACGCGTTTTCCCTTGACCAAATTTTGACCGTATCACCCTTTACATGCAAGTAATTATTTGATTGTTATGCCTATTGAATTCCAAATCAAAGCTTTTTTTGAATGCAATGATATATTAAAAACCACGTTACAGAATACAAAAAAGCTACAAAAATCGACTGAAATCTCAAATTACATAAATGGAAGTACATGGAAAGCTATTGAACAAAAATATGAAAATGAATACGTGCTGCCTGTATGGTTATATGCCGATGAATATGAAATCAACGATTCACAAAGTTCACACAGTAATAGGCACAGTGTTTGTGGTATATATTATAAATTCCCTACAATACCCAAGGAATTCCAATCCAGTTTATGCAACATATTTGTGGCTGGAATGGTTAAGAAATCAGATATCAAGGTAGTAGGTATGAATATGCTTATGCTAATGACTTCAATATGCACAGAAAAAGTTTTGGAAAAATTTGTATAGATAGCGAACTTTCTCGATTGCCAGATATAGTTGAAGGTTATAACAGTAAGGAAAAGCGCAAAACTGTTCATATACGGCTAACTTCTAGTGAAACGCGTGTACTGACACATTACATTACTTTAATTATTGGCAAATTTGTACCAAACGATGACATGGTGTGGAAGTACTGCATAACGCTAGTAAAATTAACTGAGTTCTGCCTAAGAAGTACATTTTCATTAAATATGATTGATCAATTGCGACGATTAATTAACATGCATCATAATATGTACGTTGACCTGTTTAAGAGAGAACTTAAGCCTAAACACCACTTTCTCGTGCATTATCCTTCGGTTATCACTGCATCAGGACCAGTGGAAGATATGATGTGTTTCAGATATGAAGCTAAGCACAGAGCTTTTAAGCAGAATGCTCATATCATGTCTTCGAGGAAAAATGTGTGTTATACTCTTTGTATAAACGCTTCATTACAATTCGCGTACGATTTGTTCAATCGAAGTTTTTTTAAAGTTCCTGTCACAGGAGATTTCAAAATGTTTAATTTGGGCCTACGTAATTATTTTAATAAGCTACTACAACCATTGAATATAGATTCAGATTTAAATATGCAGATTGCAAGTAGTGTCGAGTACAAAGGAACTCAGTATAGGGCTGGATATTTTATGACTCTGTTCGAAAATCATATAATGTACTTATTTGAAATCATCGAGATCATCATGCATAATAACGAGTTACATTTAATAAGCCAACACTGGCAAGTTGGAAATTATTGCGAACATTTGCTGGCGTATGAAGTTATAAGATGTTTATCTTTAGTAGATGTGCTAAAAATTGAGTTATTTGATAGTTCTCCAGTATCAGTACATACAATCGGTGATCAGTCTAAAATGTATTTCCGAGTTAAAAATAGTTTCAATGTGAATCCTGTATAAGTATTTAGTATGTAGTAGCTAAGTATGTATAGTTTGTAATAAAATTTGATATATTATTCATATTGTTTTATTGCATTAATATATGTTGCATTATTTTCCAATTATGTGTTTTAGTTGGGAACATACGAATTGGAAAATAATGCAATCATTGAAATAATTGATTGTAAATCAATCAGATTATAAAAAAAGCAAAAGGTAAAAATCAATGCAAAACAACGTGCCTTCCACAGAATTTTTTGATAAAATTTACTGGATTATCATCTAGGTTCTACTTAAACACTTCGTAAAAGATACGGGAGAAGTCACGTAGCTATTACGTGAAACTCCAGTGGGATGAGAGTTCATTAGTTCATTCTGTGCTACCTATGATTCACGTGAATGCTACGTGAAAAGTGCGATGGAAAAAAGCCACGTATGTTTTCACGTAGCATTGACGTGTGGATTATTTTGAGTGTAGGGCAAGCACTGTATACTTCTTGTTGTAGTATGTTACAAGCACAGACAAACAGACATAACATTGAATGTTTAGCACTGTAAAACATCTTCGCTAAAACAGTACCGCCATTTGTTCAGTACACTCAACATAATTAAGGCGATAGTATGTAAACGTCAAACGCAAAGGAGTAAACTATGCGCGCCACAGGTGGCGGTACTACCAACTAAAAACATTTAAATTGACCGTTACATGCGTTTTTGATGAAAAAATTGCCAGTGTTATGTTTGTTTGTATTTAAAAAAAAAACATTTAAATTGACCGCTAAAAGCGTGTTCGATGAACAACTTACGAGAGTTATGTCTGTTTATCTGTGATTATACTATATGAATAAGATAGTGGACTCTTCTTTTTCCATGCAAAACGCAGAGATCAGAAATTTCCTGCTCCACACACCACCTAACGTCAAAAAGGGCAACCAACATGCATTTGATTACAGTCAAGGGGTGAGTTAGTTGTAATTATTACACATGAAAAATTAGTTGAACTACAGTGTTCTAATAATATATTTACTGTAGCGCTCCCACACAATCCCTTATAATTTTGCAGTTGAGTTAAATAGAATTTGGTTTGCTTCCTATCCGCGAATAAAACATCAATCATACGCACCTTTATAAAATTGGCATTAATGTACGGCTCCGTATTAACTCCAGGTTCAGCTTTTAAGATAACCCTCGAATGTTCGTTTGGTAGTATCGTCTTGTATCGATTTTTCGATTGGGATCCGAACACTAGTGGTTTTTCCTGATAGTTTGTCGGCAAATCCCAAAATTCCTGGTGAATTTTAAGAATCATTTTCTTTTGCTCCTCGTCTGTCAATAGCAAACTGTCGTCGCTAATCGGTTCCGCAATGGAAGGCTGTTCTCCAGCCGCTACCATTTCGTCGGGTGGTGCGTTCGTAACTATAGATAACGTTGTAAGTTTTACATCATTATTCGCGCCAGATAGCGCGTTATCGTCCTGCGATTTGTCGTAATTACTATAGCTTTTCTTAAATATATGATGTAATTTTTTCATGTATGTCACTGACAGCATATTAGTTGCGTTCTGTAGAAACTGGATATTTGCTAAGTATATTTTAAAGTCCTCACTCGTAGTTTGTGGACTCAATGGTTTTGTTGTTATCTTACGGACATTAGTGTTACTAATACTCATTGTATTTACACCCCCGGCAAGCGCATCTGCACAATTACAGCAACAACAATCGCAACTGGTGAACTGTGTTAAATTGTTTGTCGATGCTGTCGAAGTGACAGTCGATTTGAACTTGAACATATCATTCGTGGAGATACTGAGCTTATCGGATCCTTTGGTATCTCTATTTCCTGTGCAAGAACAATCGGTATTCAGGGACGCTTGTTGTTGCTTCATGTCATCTATCGAGCCTAGAATGTTTAAAGAAAAGATATATGCTAAATTGCGTTCAGTAAAATAGTGTTCACAATGTTAGTAGTGTAAATGGAGGCAATATGGTACCCCTAAAAAACACAGCCTAAAACGGAATTGAAAATGTTCCTAAATGTATGATCAACTCATGCTTTGGAATATGTTTGATAATATGGATAAATTATGATTGAAAAAATTACACTTTTTACTCCGATCAAATGACCTTAATAGTATATAATAGGTATTAAAAGCATTTTTAACAAGTTTGTAAAAATTTTGAGATTGAAATAATGGGTAATATGTCCAAACGAACGGAATTTCCAGATTTCCAAATAAACCGTGTGTGTGCGTTGCTTGAGTTTCGGAGATACTCTCGAGTCCCTTCGAATCTCGAAAAAGATACGGCAAGGCGATGGGCTTTTATGTCTGCTGTTGAACCCTTTATAAGACAGTTGCAACTATATTGCCACCAATTATCAATATTTTTTCTGTTCACTCGTAATATCTTTTCAACTTCTGTTTTAACTGGTGGAAACTTCTAACATTTGGCAATACTACTTATTTTTTAGAGCCACAACAAATGTAGAATGAGAATGAGAATATGAAAGCAATATTAATGTCAAGAAACAGCCATTTTTGATAGAAACAAAATTAAACTGTTGTTTGTACTAAACTGATTTAATATTGTATTTTAATAAAATTGAAGCCAAAGGAAAGATTGAGGATGTTTTTTTTTTCATAAATGAGCAAAATTTCAACCCATTTGCTTCCTTGTTCTTAAAAAAAGTTTCTCATATAAGAAAAGATTTACTAACATTTATCAATCGATCAAGCCCAAAATTGTGCAGATAAACCTTGAATATTTGTTTAATCAGCATTGAAAATTTCCAGAAGCGTACAAAAGCTTTGAAAAAGATACAATTCTTTGAAATTTTTTGAAGAAAATCAGAAATTCCTACAAATTTTTAGAATTATTTTATTAAAAATAAAAATGTTTTTGATCATTACACCACGTGAACTAAATCTTTTATTGTAGTACGAGTTGATTGCATGCTTAGTTCGCTCGGCCTTACAAAGGGTTAATATTGTTTTGGAAGGTGTGATCCAAAGAGCGGAGATAGACACGAGAGGTATGATGCAAAATATCGGATTGGACTCGTCATTAATATATCGAGGACCAAATACATGAGAGGCGGAGGTTCGAGAGAAGTTAGTGTTAGCATCGTGGCCGACGAGTTCGTGTATTTGGGCTCACTGGTGTTCACACTAGCAGAGACATTCAAGGACAGCCCTCTACCGCCACGAGACATGGACTATGCTCGTGGAGAACCACTTGGTGTTTTTGGACGAAAGGTGGGATGGGCACGTTGTAAGAATGTCGGACGACAATCCGGTACCAATGGTTCTCAATAACGACAATTAAGCCTTCGCAGACAGTGTGGCTAGCGACGCATGGATCGATTGGAATGGAAACGACAACAAAAGACACCCAGGCCTTAGTCTGAATGATATGGTATCACCTTTATTCCCTATTTTGTCGTAACTGATTTCCCATACAATTTTTGTTTTGTATGGGACATTCGTTTTGATCGAAGTACGGAATGGGGGTATATAATAATGTTACATGAGGTTTACTAGAAGAAATCGTTGATGCATACGTAAAAGGATGGTTAGCTACCAGAGCTGCAACAGTACACATGAGCTGAGTACAGCTTTCATCATGAAGGCCGAGATATAGAAACACCGATTGAATGGTGGCCAATTAACAATAGTATGGGAGGAATGGGGATCAAAGGTCGGTTTTTCAATGTCAGCATAGTCATTAACATTTTTGGCGAAAATGAGTTATACAATTTAAGAAAAAAGCTGAGTTTGGTCACAGTATTTGTAGTCTGAAAAAGTTTAAATATCTTTTAAAAATATTAGATTCTGATTGCTCATCAAACATTCAAAAACTGCTCGTATTTAAAGAATTCTTTTAAAAATATTATAGAGTTGAACTAGCCTAAGGCTAAAAATCTCTTTAATAAACAATTAAAAAAAAAAAATTAAAAATATTAGATTCTGATTCCTTATCAAACTTGCAAATCCTAGAACTTAGACGTTTTCCCTAAGTCTATTTTTTAATTTCACATTTTCAAATGTAAACTTCATTCGCAGTACAGTAGGGTAAACGCTCCTATAGTTGCGGTACGTTAGAAGAATTAGGTTCCTAAAGTTGCTTATGTAGTATCCATAAAAGCATGTTTGGCATGCACAGTTGTACACACCAACTGCTCATTTGTTAATAACTTTTCAATCAGTTTATTTTTCTAGAGATGAACTAGCCTTCGGCTAAAAATCTCCTAAATAAAGAATAAAAAAAAGTTTATTTTTCATTAAAGTAATTGATAGATTAGGATCTAAGCTCACTATAGATATGCAAAGAGTAGATAAATCTCAACATTTGAATCAACACCAATGAATTTTTACACTTAGAGTCCGAGATGTGCAGCGAGCATTTCTCACTTCATTTTTACAACGCAAAAACAAATACAGTTTATTGCTATGATTAAAATCTGCTTTTTTGTACGTACCGTAAAACGGGGTAACATTGATAGTTTTTTAAAGTATATTCTAAATATTTTTCAAAGCAATGAATATTTTTCAAATATTATATATTTTTAAAACATTGGCAATACTGAGGATCCAAGAGCTAATTTGTTAGTAATATTTTGCACGAAAATTAAAGCATTTACACTATTTTTTTTAGTTTTGTGACCGAACTTCAGTATTTTGATTTGGGGTTACTTTGATAATGCTCGATGAATGTAGAAAAAAAAAATGAGTGAAACTCAAACAATTTAGTTCTTTAAATATGAAACTTTGAATGAGTATATAATCAGAATACTTCATAAATAATAAGAATACAATATTGAATTTGTAATGGTTAAATACATTTCATAAGTGATGCTTTGAGTGCTTTTTCAAAAAGGCGAAAAAAACGAAAATTGTTTTTTAATATGTTTGTAAAATATGTTACACATACATATAAAAATTATATGAGATATCAACGGAAATACCCTAAGCTACAATATGGCTGAAAAATCGAGATGAAAGTGTGTGGGTTTGGAAAAAATATTGCTGTGCTCAGAAAACGAAGCTCTTCCAGATGATATATAAAAACCGATATATTTTTCAAAATTAAAGAACCCAATTGCCTTGAAAAGTTGAGCCTGGTTCAACTTTTTTCAGTTCAAGTGAGTTGTTCAAGTTAATTGAATGGCATGGTTTACACGTTCAACACGTTGAATTCAACTGACTTGATCAATTGACTTGCCCTGTCTAAACTCAGCTTAACGGCTAGCAGCAGTCACTTCGTATCTGCCATCGGTGAAGAGAAAAAAGAGATAGCATTATTATACATTACACGTTGTGAATATTCCCGCAATATCAAAGGAGCTTGTAAAATCAATAGCTATCATGCATTATATTTTGCTCCAATGTCACGCGTGATATTGAGAGCGTATGGAAAAATATTAATTTGCTTATGATCATGCCATCACTGATCCTGATGAATGTGGGCGCCTGAAGAAGTTTGCACATCATAGTCACCCGTATCTGTCAATGATAAGCAGTCCGATTGAGCCTTCCAAATAAACGAACTAGTTTTAAAAAAAAGATAAGCAATTAAAATAGTGGAATTAAAAGGAAATTACTAGCCCTTCTCATTCTCTTTATACAGGTTTTTTTTATGTTGTTGCACAGGTAAAATGTGAGTTTACCCGGAACCATTGGATTGTGTCAAACGGCGTATTAGTGCCGCACCCTATATATTAATTTAGCTAGCTAAACAAACAGATCCGCTCTAGTAAGATGAGTCGTTTTGAGAACCTCCAATTTGAAAAGGCTTCCTTGTAATAAACATTATGTGCAACTCACCTCCATAGTTACTCATTTGTCCTCGGTGGTAGCACATCTCGGGAGCGTCCATGTTTGTTTCCTTCTGTTGACAACAACATCCTGCTCGTGAATTTGTAATGTTATGAAGACTATCCGAGCTTAGAAACTTTCGCCGCCCGCCATGCTGTTGGCAGTTCGGTGATAAATGAGATTCATTTGTTGTACCAGATGCCACCCGAGTGCAGCAATTCGATTGGTTATTGTTGACTGACAGCTGATGCTCTTCCTCCTCCAACATGAGGGCTTCATTTTGTGTCTGGTATGTTGCCATACTGTTAAGACTACAAATGGAACCCGGAAGATTACAATTTGAAACAGAAAGCGCACGATTTTGTATGTTGATAAGAGTTAAGCTAGTGTTTGAATTGCGTCTTTCCAGTAGACATTTCTTTGCTGGACGAACGTTCTGCTGGTTTTGAATATTCAGCGAACTGTGGCTATTGTACCTGTTTAAGCTGCTGCTCGATCCCTGTAGGTTCAAAACTAAACTGGTATTTGAACCACGTCGCTGCAAGAGATTCTTTTTCGTTTGCACATTAGGAACGCCCGATTGGTGAACGCTTTGATGCTGAGTTTGCTGTTGCTGAAGATTGTAAGATGAGCTTGCTAAACTCAAATGAGATCCTTTAAAGTTTCCCAAGCTATAATTTGACGCTGACAGTCCCTTTGATAGTCCGCTGCCTCCGGATGTGGCGTCCAGATTCAGTGTAAGACTATGATTTGAACCCCTTCGTTGAAGAATACTGGATCGACTTTTATTCAATGTTTGAATCGGTGGTTTTTCTATCATTATATGTTCACTTTTTTTATCTGCAAAGTCGCACACGGGTGTAATTTCTGGTAATGTTTTCAAGTTAACGTTAGAAACACTCAAACTTTGTTCTTTTTGTTGAGACACATTAGAATACGGATTTTTTCCAACAACAGATTTACCGTCGTATTCGATTGGACTTTGATAGTTATCAGCATTTTCCTCGAAACTTCCGAGCTTTTGCTGAAAACCACACAGCAAATGTCGTTCAGAAGCAGGGCTATTATTCATGCTCGTAGCACTGTCGTTCATGCAGCGATTTGGTTTATATTTACCATGCTGTTGCTGCTGGGGTAATCGATACGGCTGCCGTTTAGGTGTTGTAGGTACGGATAGTGAAGATGTGCGTATTGTTGATGTAGATGGATTTATTATTGAACAACGATTGCTGACTCGATGTTCGTTTTTATCCATTGCACTTTGGGTTCTAACCGGTTGTGGGAGCAAGTAGCTAAGTGATTGATCCGAATCGAGTGAACTGGCTTTCTTTCGGGTCTGTGTCAAGGTGGGCGTTTTTGGAGTCTGCAACTGAGAATGCTGCTTTTTACGTTTTTCATTATAGCCCATACTAGTTCCACATTCCATTTCGTACTCTTCGTCTTCCTCATCATCGTAATCGTAATACTCAAAATAGAATTCATTAAACTTGTAGTCATCGTCAGCCGCTAAGGATTCATCCTTGTCGTTTAAATTCAAAGTTAAGTTGAAAATGTTACGCCGTTTCCTATTTTCGTCACTATCATTATGCGTGTGAGGCTGATTGAGCGGTTGAAGTTGGTTTCCTGAAATGCAATGATGCGGCTGGTTTGCGGCAATCTCTACTAATTCTTCAACTGGAATACTGGTTGTAAAATGCTCCTCCACCATGCGTGCTCCTTCTGAATCTAACGATATAGACTTTAGACGAGCTCTTCGCGATGCACGGCTAGAATATGCAACCTGTTCAAGATAATCTTCAGCAGATGTAGGAGATGCATCATCAGTCTCCATTGAAATACTAGGTATATTCGTTACGGTCAACTGATCAATTGTACTATTTTCAGATGATTGGTTATCTTGATCCTCTTCCACCGACAATGGTTTCGATTCATGCTGCGATGGTGACGAAACCTCCTTGGTAGGAGTTTCCAACGACGGAATCCAAGATGTGACAAGCGACGGTATTTTGAAAGCGGTAGTTTTGTTAGTCCCATTTTGGTTGGATACTTGCGCACTAATAGGTGGTGTAAAAGTGTCCACTTCCGGAAAGCGAAAATAAGAATTACTACTCTTTCCGTCATTTCCCGTATGATTCGGAACAGCACTCTGTGGTGACGCTTGATAGCCGTATTCACCTATTACTTTTGGTGAAAAGGTGAACCGTCCGGCAATACTGCTTGTTGCACTGTTACAACTATTCAGGTTAGTATTTGGTGTAGTATTTGTAGCTGTGGAAGCCGCCGACGATGATACCGAAGATGGCGTCACCGAAGGTATCAAAGTAGGAGACGATGATGAATCATAGCATACGTTTGGCGAATTTTGATCATTAGCGAAAAATATTGGTGACTGGGTTAAGACCTTCCTGTTCGACGGCGTTTGGTTATCATTTCCATCAATCCAGAAATGGTGTCCACGAAAGTTTTTTGCACTCCGACTCTCGAATACTGTTGAACATTTTCCAAAGTTTTCCTTATCGTCGGATAACTTTTGCGATTTAGTCATAGGAATTGACAAAACCGTTTCAGAGGATGATGATGCTGATGATTGGGTGTAAACCACCTTTGGAGAGGAACAAATGGGCGTTGCACTGACCACTGCTATATTGTCCAAATTCACCACAGGGTGATGTAGTTGAGGTGGCTGAACACAGCAAACATCGCCTTTTAAAACCGAAATATTTGATATAAGACATTCATCCTTGGATCCTAACTTTCCAAAGTACTGTAGATTGTCGGTAGTTGCTTTACTATTGGCACCGTATTTATCACCTTTGTATGATGACACTTGCTGTTGTTCATAGAAGCTCGACTGGTTGAAACTGAATTTCCTTTGGACAGACCTTACTGGCGATGAAGATGATACAAGTGAAGGTGATGTAGGGATCTGTGATATATTGTTAAGTGAATGTTTCGCTTGTGCTCGTCTCAGATTACCAGGGGTCGAAATTATCGATAAATTATCAGAAGTGATATTCTTGTAGATTGTGCTAACAATAGGATCCTGTTGTGACGCTTCGCTTTCTGGTAACATAATATTGGAAGGAAAGTCTTCTATTCCAGTATCTGGCACATCTAAACTCTTTGAACGAGGAGAGTCTGGTTTAGTAGAAGGTGGTAGTGTTTCTGTCGATTTGATGTTTTCTATTTGAGAGCATTCATCTTCGCTCATTTTTGCGTGCTTGTGCAAAGGTCTTTCGTTGGCTTTTTCTATTTTAAGTTTCTTGGAAGTCTTTTCTTTGTACCGTTCTTGACTTTTCAAATTATTTTTTAGCCAAAATAGAAGAATTGCCCCAACTGCTAGTATCCCAAGTAAGGAAACGGTTAGGATAGCTACAGGAAACACAACTTCTTGCCAGGGTCCAACAACTGTTACACTTTCAAATGTTACACCGTCGTGCGCTTCCGGTCTGCTATTGTAATAGTAAAAAGACGATTGATGTGTGTGCTGTTGTGTGTAGTGTTGATGTTGATCTTGCTCTAGAAACGATGATGCTTGGGATGATTGACTATTCACATCCTTTGGCTGTTCTCCAAAATCACTTCCCCGTTTGTGAACGGAAATTGATAAAAGTGATAACCCGTCTTGCATGCGATTTGATGTGGCTAAGGAAGATGAAGAGAAGATGTTGTTGCTGTTACTGTTAGACGCATCACGTGAGTCCATCATTGGTTCCTAGAGCGCCACCATACCTGGATTACACTCCTGGGGAAAATAGACAAAAAAAAAGTTCCTATGTTAATGGCCGTGGATTTGCATACGTTAGGACCAATACCGCGGATACACTTGTATGACAAACTATGAGCATGAGCATTATTTGTATAATAATTATGAGCACTATACAAAAACTATACAAGTGTGACCATGGATGAGCATGTGCTTTTATATACAAATAAGGCTCATGCTCAGACAGTATTCCCCGGCTAATCCGACACTCGTTAATCCGACAACTCGATAATCCGGACCCCGTTTATCCGGAAAATGTCTGACACGCGCTTGTGCTGTAAGGAAGCTGTCTATTTATTTTAATTTTTTTAGTATGGATTTGACAGTCGGATTAGCGAGTCGAACCCGTGCCTTGATTTTGTCGGATACTATAGTTTGTCATACAAGTGTATCCGCGACATTAATATGATTATTGTAAGCACATCACAAAATAATCAATCTACCTTTTTACAATTCATAACTCTTTCCCACCCATGGTTACTCTGCATCACGTTTTTTAACACTTTATGCAATGGCTTTAGAAAAATTCAACGGATTTTTGTGAAACTATGGTCACATGATATGTAATACTGCTACTATATTTAGGAAGAAAAAAAACATGTCAATATCTTAAAAGATATTGATTTTCAAAGCCTTTTTTGCAAAAACACCCTGGGCGGAAAAGGGTTAATATATGATCGTCACCAAATCACAGTTTATTTTTGTTTTGTTTCATCGAAATGGCAGGAGCTTTATTCTAACGACTCTAACTCTCAAAAGTCCGTATGTCATGCTTGCACGGGTCAAGAAGATTACTAAAATCCATCAGCTGGAGATACTGGTTGCGCAGCCTAGGCACACCGTTGAATTATATGCCAGGGCTGCAAATGGAGTGGAACAACATGGCGGGATCCAAGCTTTTTTTTTCCTTGATTTATTTTCCGTCGATCTTGTTTTCCGTGCTGAGCACCAATTCTATCGACGCCATGGAGGCAGTTCCCCCACCCGTGGACCCTACCTATCGACCCATCAACCCATGAACCGGGGACCAACGGCTTTACTTCCCTGATCAGAGATGTTATGCCTCAGAACATCCCGGCGGCGCCGACTGGGATTGAACCCAGGCCTGCTGGGGTGAGAGCTAATCATGCTTACCACTACATCACCAGCGCCGCTAGGGATCCAAGCTGTAGTTCATTGCATGCAACTATGATTAATACTTCCATGAAACTTCCATGGGATGTCTGCAGAATCTTTTAAAGAAATTGGAATAAACTTTACTATAAACTTTACACAGTAACCAATGAGAAGTGAGAAAATATGGTACCGGCAGAGCTGTTGTCTATACAACAGGTAGCTAACTGCGCGTTCACATTTGTTGCGATTCACCCGTTCAAGGAGTCGCCAAGTGTCATCGTGTGGTAACATCCAGGGCCTGCCATTCTTCGTTTGGCTCGATGTGGTGGTGTCAAGCTAATCTCCGGTCTGATGTACGAGGAAACCCGAGGTGTGCTAAGGTGTGCCGAGAAAATGTGATCCGTGATGCCGTCACTGAACACGCCAAGCGCAGACAGTCACGGCCATGGATGTCATCTACGCATCATTATCATCAACAACCAAGTAACAAAACGGCCCTTTTCAGGGCCACCAAGTTCATGCCAGTGGCGTTTCCTTAACCTCAATCTATCTGTGCACCAACTCTCAAAACCAGTGGTGTCCCGTAACCTCACTTTTTACCTGTGCAGCAACTTTCAAAATCAGATTTAATGTCATATTCATACTCGAATCGGTTGAAAAATACAATTAATCTTCTAGTTCACTCGATATCTATCCGTTGTAAGCAATATTGTGATAATTGTTTATGTTTTGAGAGTTGGTGCACAGGTAGATTGAGGCTAAGGAAACGCCACTACTCAAAACATAAACAATTATCAAAATATTTAGTTGAAGATGCTAATTTCAAATAACAGACTGTAGTGGTAATTTTTATACGATAGATGGAGTAGATGAAAGCATAGAGTTGATAGTTCCGTTAGAGTACGGCAGTGTGAAGATTGCATATACATATTAGAATAGCGAGCTAGGACAACTTTTTAAGGAAGGTACAAATCGGTTTTTTTCCGAGGGGGGCGACACATCTAAATCTCAAGTTTAGATGCTCAACAAATCTCACACTAGCGAATCAATCTTCGAAAAATCTTCTTTCATTTGTCGCATCTACTTGCATCGCTCATCATCTTTTTGCAGGAAATCTTTAGAATCGTCATCAATCTTCTTTCTATCTACTCAGCGTGCGCGCAGCTAACCACAGCAAAACACAATCTTTTTTGCATCGTAGATAGAGTCGTCCCTCTCGGTTTTTTCATCTCTCTTTATGGTGAGGGGTGTGACACCCCTCACCATCCCTCTCCAAAGGGGGAGTTTGGTAAAGAGAGATGAAAAAACCGATTTGTACCTTCCTTAAAAAGTTTTCCTAGCTCGCTATTCTAATATCTATATGCAATCTTCACACTGCCGTACTCTAACGGAACTATCAACTCTATGCTTTCATCTACTCCATCTATCGTATAAAAATTACCACTACAGTCTGTTATTTGAAATTAGCATCTTCAACTATGTAAACCGTTGACTTCACGTAGAAGTAATACTAAAAACATATAGTCAAAGTATCAAAATATTGCTTGCAATGCATTGCAATGGATAGATATCGATTGAACTAGAAGATTAAGTGTATTTTTCAACCGATTCGAGTATGAATATGACATTAAATCTGATTTTGAAAGTTGGTGCACAGGTAAAAAGTGAGGTTACGGGACGCCACTGAATTGAACGATTGTTGCTGACCTTTTTGAACGCTAGATGGTGCGTGAAGCAGCACATTTCGGGTCGTTATTGCAATGTAAGGAAAAGGCATGAATTGATTATATTGTTAATATTAGTAATCCTATATACAGAGATTCGCGGAAAAATTATCAGACGATTTGGAAACGTGATATGTTTTGTTAAAAAAGTTGCCAACACTTGCCGCGGAGCAAAATGTTCCAACTTTGTGCGTGACTTTATCGTTGTCTACGGTATGAGTTCGTTTGAACTCTCAGAGAACTGGTGGACTATTTTTGCCATGTTTTGCCCTAACCACGGTCGTGGAACTGCAACAAGGTGTAACAATGTGAGTTTTTTCCAGTTTCCGGCTGAAATTCGCAAAAAAAAATGTCGGACTGCCGTCGGATTTTTCCCATGTGGATGCGTTCGTGTAGTCTAAAGCTTCACACCAAACTGGACAAGTAAGCGCGTTTTCACTTACTAAAAAGGGTGACAAAAGTGCGAATTTTCTTCTAATCGCCTTGGTGTCTTCAGTGCACTCATTCCTTATAATAAGGAAGCAATAAGTGCTCCGAAGACACAAAACGATTTGACGGAATCGTGCAATTTATCACACTTTTTGAATGTCCTCTTACAGATGCAATCAGCAATATTGTTCGGACTGAAAAATTTATAAACATTATCCATTCACAATGTATTATATAATTGTTAATTATGCATAAAACTCTCTTATTTCATACGCATTTTACTGCTATAATACATATTTGCTTTTAGTTTGAATTTAATTCCCCCCGATTACAATATTTTTTAGCTCAATAAGAAATCCTCTAAATATTTTCTAATCAGAATGCTCGTTTGGCTCACATTTTGACAGTTCTCGCTGCTCGATAGGCTCGAAATGGCCGCTTCCGCGAATCTCTGTATATAGGATTACTATTTCTAGTGTGTCAGAAATTTTACTTGTGAATATATATTTTTTTAAATTATCACAATTGGATGGAAAACAAAATAAAAAAAATAAAATAAAACTTAAGTGCCAATTTTTTTTTATCCAATTCCTAACCCTTACTTTAAGAAAAATCTAAAATAAAATGTTTCTAACAAATGTTCAAGTTAATTATAATGATTATTGAAAAACTATTTTCGAAAAAATAGTAGATCTCTATGAAGACTAATTTTCAAACATAATTTTGTAAGTTGTTAAAGATAAATAGACGAGATGAGATAAGGAATTAGGAATGTCTTGGATAAAAATAAGAAATCTTTAAATATTGAAATTGTAGAATATTAAAATCTTTTTCATGCAAAAAACGCGCAACATCTTTATAATTATACGTTTATTGAAAATTTTAATAAATTAGGGATACTAAAGATGTTTCATCATTTTTTTTATAATTACTTTATTTGTACAGGCTCAATCGAATAAACTTTACAGAGCCGAGTTATCCTTTGCGTTATACATTATTACAGTCTTATGTTTAAAGTTAAAGGAACTGGACCGAGTACTCGCGGTTGTCTCGAGGTTAGTGGAGATTTACAATTTTTTGGATGGGAAAAGGGAAGGAGGTTTTACATCTGGTTTACTATACAACTATTTAATTAATCCTAAAGCATGAAATTATTTCTATTCATCTTGAAAACAAACATTGAAAAAAAACCCACACGTACAAAATACTAACCAAACACAAGGTTAATCAAACTTACAATCTAAGGTTAATATCCTTAAAGTAAACATATATGAGTTTCATAAACTCCAGATCGCGTCTAGCCAAAATATCACGAACTGGAACATTAGGTTGTCTACCTCGAGCCCGAAGGGAATCATAAAAATGTGATCTGACTCCACGATACTCCGCACAAGACCAAAGGATGTGATCAGCGTCCTGGTAACCTTGTCCACATTCACAGAGATTGCTGTCTCCCAACCCCACACGGAACAAGTGAGCGTTTAGACAATAGTGATTGGACATGAGACGAGACATCACGCGTATGATGTCTCGACTCAAGTCCAACCCTTTGAACCATGCAAACTTTGACACCTTATGGATAATTGAATGTAGTCATCGTCCCAAGCTCCCTTCACTCCATTGATGTTGCCAGCTAACGAGCGACTGCTGACGATAAATAGAGAAAAATTCACTATAGGAGATTTGTCGATCATAAATGTCGCCTTCCAT